TGGGACCATCTCCAGTTAGTATCTTCTACCACCTGCCCTCCTAAACTGGTTCATTAGGGAAGGGCCTTCTACAGGTCTAGAGTGAGCCACCAGCACTTGGCCCTTTGTTGTTTTTGTTTGTTTGTTTGTTTGAGACAGGATATCTCTCTGTTGCTCTGTGTAGCCCAGTCTAGCTTGCAGGGCCCACCCCCTCCCCAGCCCCATACTAGCTCCTCTGCTCTGAGTGGCAATATGCATTAAGCATTATACTCATCATCTCAGGGATGATGGAATCCTAACCTTTCTAGAGCCACATGACTCTGTCACAAGCATTGCTCTTTTTAAAAGAGATTAATTCACTTGCTGCATTTTGTCCATTGGTGAAAATCACCAGGGAGAGCAAGGGTGACTTCCTCAGGCCTCAGAGACCCTTTCAGCCACTCTCAGCAGGCAGTCACACCCCCCTCCCCCCCCCCCCCAGCTGGCTCAGGACTTTGAAATTACTGCCTGCTGAGCATTCACTTGCAACAAAATTAAATGGGAGACATGGGTTGTGAAGTCCTAACTTTTGGGGCTGCTCTGCATCAAGGAAAAGTAGGGAAGGGCCCCACCGGCTCTGCAAGAGGAGAAGTTATTGATGGTTTGCTTTGCCTTGGTGCTTGTGAACTTAGCTCTATCCCTTCCTTGATTTAGCAGGCAGGTACACCCACTCACTCAGCACCAGCAAATAAATAAAAAGTAGGCTGCTAAGTCGGTGTGGTGATGCCCAAGTATAATCACAGCAGTGAGGAAGGTGAGTTACTGTATGCTGTCTTTCTCACTTTCCCCTGGGGAGTGACAGACCCAGAATCTGGATACCAGGTTTCTTGGATTTTTTTTTTTTTTTTCTATTTCATGCAGTACCACAAGGCTGCAAAGAATGATAGTCAGGAAACTGGACAGGGCCTGAAAGCTCTCACTGGAATCTCACTGAAGAACACCATGCATCCATGAATGACCATGCAGATTATAGAGTTCTATATTTTTCATTTTGCTGCATTCTATAACTTGTTTGGAGCTGACAGAGTGTGATTCTCAGTGGACCTATGAAAAGATTGAAGCTTAGTGGGATGGTATACCTTCTTGGGTTGTTAGAATGGCAGGTTACAGAGTTGGAGCTATAACACAAAGCTCCAGGCTCCTGACTGGGCCCTGAATTCCTTCATTTATATAGCAAGTTGAAAGGAACTGATTCTGCTAAGTCTTTTCTCCTAAAAGAAAATCCTGTAATATACCAAAAAGATGACCCCAATACAACACGTATACAACAAGCAGATCAAAATTCTTGGTGTAATGGCAATGGTAATATGATACCTTTTATACCCCCCATTAGATACTTCATCTCTAATCACCAAAAAGCAGGAAGTGGGGTTGTGGTTCAAGTGGTGAAGCACTTAGCCTTGAGCAAAAAAGCTCAAGGCCAGCACCCAGCCCCAGGACCCATACAAATAAAAAAAGAAAAAGAAGCCAGCTACTGCTGTTAGTGGCTTACCTTCTTATCCTAGCTACTCCAGAGACTGAGGATGAGAATCCTAGTTCGAAGAGAGCCCAAACAGAAACCTTTGTGAGATCCTTATCTCCAGTTAAGCAGTATAAAGCTAGAAGTGGGGCTGTGGCTCAAGTGGTAGAGTACCAGCCTTGAATGAAAAAGCTAAGAGAGAGCATCTAGTAGAGTCCAAGCCCCAGTCCTGGAACCACATTCAGAAAAAACTCAGCACCAGGAAATAAATAAAAAGTAGTCTGCTAAGTAGGTGTAGTGATGAGGAAGGTGAGGCATGAGGATTTAAGTCCAGCCTGGGCTTAATAGAGAGACTGCCTCAAAGAGAAAAAAAGAGAAAAACCAAAACTAAACAACCACAACAACAAAAGGTGGCTACTATTGAGTGTTGGCAAGGAAAAGGGTATACAGAAGTTCCCCTGTCATATAATGGGAGAGTCAGTGGAGAAGCCATTCTAGAATGAGCCCTGGAGCTGTTTAGTCCTATCATGTATACCATCATATCCTGTTCCTGGGATATGCCTGATAGAGATGAGATGTTCACAGGGTCAAATAGGGAACATGTGAGAGGATGTCCTAAACATTGATTTTGGTGGCTGGGAGATGGTGGGTGAGTAGCTCTGGGAGAACAGCAAGGAAAAATGTGATGCATTATACTGATATTTGTTGTCATTTTCCCCCCCTACTATCCTCTTGTAGGTTCAGCCTGCTTAAACAATTAGGTTAATTTTATAATTCTTTTGCCTCAAAACTTTGAGTGACAGCTTGACTGCTTTTGGTGAAAGGTCAGAAAGGATGACAAATAAATTTCCTATTGCCAAATTCTTTTTTGGGGGGGAGGTCTGGTCGTGGAGCCTGAACTCTGGGCCTGGGCACTGTCCCTCAGCTCTTCAGCTCAAGGCTAGCACTCTACTACTTGAGCCACAGCGCCACTTCCGGTTTGTTTTCTTTTTGCTTATGTGGTGCTGAGGAATCGAACCCAGGGCCTCAGGCATGCAAGGCAAGCACTCTACCCAGCCCCTATTGCCAACTCTTTTGTGCAGTAGTAGATAATTAAAATCTGTGTTGAGAATTTTGAAACTCTTTTCAATGACTCCCAAAAAAAGAGTTTCTGGAAGACCTCCTGTCTAAGATGCAGAATTTTTAGCCTCCCTGCCAAACATCTATCAGTGCTTTAGGCTAAGATTGTATTTTAGAGCTTCTTGAGGGCTATAAACCCTTGGATGTTGTATAAAATATGTGTGTGCTCATATATAATTTTTTTGCTCCTAATATATTTTTTAAATATTAAGAGTTTTTCCTTTGTTGGTCTGTCGTGGGGCTTGAACTCTGGGCCTGGGCGCTGTCCCTCAGCTCTTCAGCTTAAGGCAAGCGCTCTACCACTTGAGCCAAAGCACCACTTCTGGTTTGTTTGTTTTCTTTCCTTTTTCCTTCCTTCCTTCCTTCCTTCTTTTCTTTCTTTCTTTTTTTTTTTTTTGTCAGTCATGGTGCTTGAACTCTGGACCTGGGAGCTGTCCCTTAGATTTTCAGCTCAAGGCTAGTGCTCTACCACTTGAGCCACAGCACCACTTCCCGTTGTCTGGTGGTTAATTGGAGATAAGAGCCTGGGCTGGCTTTGAACAGTGATCAGCAGATCTTAGCCTCCTGAGTACCTAGGATTACAGCTGTGAGCCACTCGCCTGGCTTCACTTCCCATTTTCTAGTGGTTAATTGGAGATGAATCACTGGGCTAGCTTTGAGCCCTGATCCTCAGATCTCAGCCACTTGAGTAGCTAGGATTACAGGCGTGACCCACCGGTGCCTGGCAAATATATTGAGTTTAATAAGAGGGTTCCAATTCTGAAAGATTATGAGTACAGTTCATCTTGGTTCATGTCATTGAACCAAGTCTCATCCCTGCCTTCAAGTTACATAGTTCAATTTTTTTTTCCCCCTGGTCATGGGGCCTGAACTCTGGGCCTGGGCGCTGTCCTGCTGTCCCTCCGCTCTTCAGCTCAAGGCTAGTGTTCTGCCACTTGAGCCACAGTGCCACTTCTGGCTTTTTCTGCTTATGTGGTGCTGAGGAATGGAACCCAGGGCCTCATGCATGCAAGGCAAGCGCTCTACCACTGAGCCACATTCCCAGTCCCATAGTTCAATTTTTATGTAGTGTATAATTGAACATAATGACTATTTGCCTACCCTTCCTCTCATATATTTTTTGTACAGAAATTGGATCATGTTCCCAAAAATATTCCACAGTTCACAACAGTTTGTATCTCTGCCCTCCTCATCTAGTTTGAGGCCCTGTGCTAGTTGTGCATGTACGAGCAGTTGTCTGCTTCTCTTACTATGAACTGTCACCCAGATGGAGCTTCCTGGTGGTCACTAGATGTTCCTTCCATCTTCACCATTATTTCCTGTTCCTTTTGCCTTGATTGGTGCCCATCTTTACACTTCCTGAAATTCTAAGCACAGTCTTCCCTAAGAAACCTCTCATTTTCATGAGCATGTTCTAGTTTTCTGCTGGACCAACTACCAAAGAAGTGAACCTTCCCTTCAGAATAAGAATCAGAATTCCATCCATACTCAAGCATTTGAGACACAAGCTCCCACAGTATCACATAGTTTGTGTGAAAGGAGACTTTCATCTCACAGAAAATTGTCCCCAGAAACAAATTGTTTAAATAGGGATACAGGTTGACCCATTGCAACAATGAGATGTACAAGACACTATGTCGAAAAATGAACTTTACAAATATTTTTTTTGGGGGGTAGGGGAAAAGAGGAGGCAACAATGCTTGCTAAGAAATGTACTCATTACCTTGCTCATGTAATTGTAACCCCTCTGTACAGTATTTTCACAATAAAAAACTTATAAGACAAAATAAGAAAATTGTCCCCAGAGTTCTTAGCCTTTTAACATCTGTAGTTAAGAAAAACTCTTTCCTCATGAAAAGGTTTTACTGCATATGTAGTAAGGAGGCTCTGGGAATTCATCAGAAGAAATCTTCCAAACTAGAAGTCAAATGGAGAGTTTCCTGACTTCCTCCCTCAATACTCCCCTCACAGCGCACCACACCTCTTAACAGGATGTTATATACACCTTTTTTTTCCTCAGGGTGAAGAAATGTTCCCCCTCTGTCTCAAACATTTCTTCCTCCCTTATCCCTATTATAGGACTAACTTCTTTTGATCATTACTTCCTCATAGAAGCCTTCCTCCTTCCCTTGTTCACCTGCATCCTGTTGTGAGCCCTTATGAGTTGTGTGGTTCTCTGTTCCATGGTCTGTTTCTCCCTTAAATTGTCACAGCACCTATCTCAGTCACTGCATCAACAGAGTGATCAGAGACACTGGGATTGGCCATTCAGTTTTCAAAGGTATCAGTTTCCAGATTTGTCCAGCCTCTATGTTTGTTGATTGTCATTTCTTCTATGGTTATTTCTGCGTATGTCTATGATAAGCCATATACTGAGAATATCCATCCCTCTGTCTCGTTTCAGACTGTTGTCAGAAGGCGCAGATGTCAATGCAAGGCACAAACTTGGGTGGACAGCACTAATGGTGGCAGCCATTAGCCGTAATGACAGGTAAGAATCTCTTTCCATCCAGGGCTTCCGTAGCTAGCAATGTTCTCTTGCCACCCTTGCATAATTCTTGTTGTATTCTCCAGAGGTAAGGAGATTAATTCAGGTAAGGGGTTCGACTCATGGTATATTGGCCTATTTAGTAGACATGAAGAAGGGAGATGTGGCTTTGGATTCCAGCTTATCATTTATGGCTTTGAGACCATGGCACCCCCAGATCTATACAGACTTTGGAGCTGAAGGGTTCTAAATGTGGAGGCCAGTCATGAAACTGCAGAGGGTGGTCTGTTTCAAATTGGCTAGGAGACTTAGCTGTCCTTGATAGGTTTTTCTGTGTGTTTTTCATCATGTTTTCCATCACTCAGTTTTTTTGCCATCATTAGCTCCACCCATTTATTCTTAGGTCTGTTGTTGTTTTAACTTCTTTTTTTAATGTGTGCCAATATTTGTTTGGTTTTGCCAGTCCTGGGGCTTGATCTCAGAGCCGGGGCACTGTCCTTGAGCTGCTTTTGCTCAAGTCTAGCACTCTACCACTTGAACCACCAATCTTCCAGCTTTTTCTGTTTATGTGGTACTGAGGAATCAAACCCAGGGCTTCATGCCAGACAAACACACTATCATTAAGCCACATTTCCAGCCCATCTTGTTGCCAATATTGAGGCTTGAAACTCAGGGCCTTGTGTTCTTGCTCAGCTTTCTTGTTCATGGCTGGCACTGTACCACTTGAGCCATGTTCTAGTCTAGCATTTGCTGGTTAACTGGCAATGGAGTTTCTTGGACATAAGTACCTGAGCTGGCTTCAAACTGCAATCTTTTGGGTCTCAGCCTCCTAAATAGCTAGGATTCCAAGTGAGCCACCTGCACCAGGCTCAAGCACTTATTCTTTAAAAATATCACTGATGTGTGTTGGCTGTAGCTTGATGGTAAGCACTTAACTAGCATGCTTAAGACCTTGGTTTAAATCTTCTCTACCATACAAATATACACACACAAAATTGATATAAACAAGTGTTATGGTTCATAGTCCTGTACTTAGTTTTGGTTTTGATCATTAGTTTAATTTTAGAACTTCTTGGACACTTGTTTCTCTATGGGAAATTGGTTTGTTCCTACTTGTTTCTTCCAAGATTTTTTATTAGTACATTAGTGGTATAAGGAGAGTTTCACTGTGACATTCCCATATATGCATGTGGTATACTCCATCAACTTCATTCTCCTTATCTTTCCTCCCCAGCTCCCTTTTTTGTGTGTTTGTGTATGCTAATATTGGAGCTTGAACTCAGTCACACTTCTAGCATTTTGTTGGTTATTTGGAAGTAAGAGTCTTAACATTTGTCTTCCCAGGCTGTCTTTCACCCACATTCCTCAGATCTTAGCCCCCTGGGTAGCTAGGCATTAACCATGAGCACCTGGTTCCCTCCCCACTTTTGTCTGGGTGCTGTCCCTCAGCTGAGGACGAGCGCTGTACAACTTGAGCCCAGAGCCACTTCCAATTTTCTGGTGGAGATAAGAGCCTCATGGACTTTCCCACCTTGGCGCCTGGGCTGGCTTTGAACCTCGATCCTCAGATATCAGCCACCTGAGTAGCTAGGATTACAGGCGTGAGCCACTGTAGCCCAGCAAGCTCTTAGCTTTTTAAAACCATTTCAATGATTTCATTGTCCTGTTTGCATACATGTAAAAAAAAACTTGATCATTGATCTTCACCTTCCTGCAGATACCTACCTAGCGCCTTAACAGAGCCTGTTTCAGTTTTGTCATTTGTTTTTGTTTTTAGTGAATATTGTATCAAGGAGAAATTAGTATTCCTACAAACATTTAGGAAATATCTGTTCTAAGCCAGACCTTATGCTAGTCTTTGGAGAATCAGAGACCTTGGCAAGCTTGTAATCTAATGTAGAAAAGAAATGAAAGTACAGAGGCATACTGTAGTATAATCACTGATGTCAAGGAAGAATAGACGGTGTTAGTGAAACAGAGTGGGTGAGGAGATCCCATCTAGCAACAGATGCTGTGTTCTTTTAGGAAGCAAATCAAACAACATATGTGCTGCAGGTTATAAATGGTGAGTTTAATTCTTGATGACTTTGTCAGACCTCTTTATATCTAAACACACACATGCTTATTCACCACAGGTAATCCACCCTACCTATCCTTCCTTACTTGCAAATGTTTTTCATCAGCCAGTGGTAAGGAAGGAGATTGTGTTCCTTTCTATGTGTTGTATTTTCAGAGTCTAGACTAAATAGGAAATAGCACTATTCTTAATACTGTCAATTAATGGCAGATAGCTACTAGATGTGCTTTTGGGGACACTTCTCTTGGAATCTAATGAGTTGTTGGTTTAACTGATTGCTTTGTCTTTATCTAAGGCTATTAGCAAATAAGTGATGCTTGTTGAGCAAACAGAGTTGGCTTCTATTACTTTGTTTCTTAGAACTAATTACTAGTGTTTTTTTGTTTTTGTTTTTGTCTGGTGAGGCTTGAACTCTGGGCCTGAGGGGCTGACCCTGAGCTCCTCAGCTCCAGGCTGGCGCTCTACCACTTGAGCCTCAGCACCACTTCTGGTTTTCTGATGATTTATTGGAGATCCTCAGATCTCAGCTTCCTGAGTAGCTAGAATTACAGGCATGAGCTACCAGCACCTGGCTAATTACTAGTTTTTTAAGCATTCATTTTGTGACTTCTCTTCCTACAAATATCTAAGGAGACAAAGTTCTATTGAAAATGGCATAGTTGGCCAGGTATGTATGCGTGCTTATGAAATGCAACACAGGTGGCTGAGAAAGAAGAATTGAGGCCTGCCTGGGCTCTCTAATGAGACCCTGTCTCAAAAGGTTGCTCATTGGTGGCTCAAGCCTATAACCCTAGGTACTAAAGAGGCTGAGATCTGAAGATCATGGTTAAAACCAGAGCCAATCCAGGCAGGAAGTCCTAAGATTCTGATCTCCAATTAACCACCAAAAAGCTAGAAATGGAGCTATACAAGTGACAGAGTGCTAGCCTTGAGGGAAACAACAAAAAAGTCAAGGGCAGTACCTAGGTCCTGAGTTCACGTCCCAGTATTGGCACCCCCCCCAAAAAAAATGCACACTCTTGGATTTTTTTCATATCAGAAATCCTTTTTGGATCTCTACTGTTTGACATGTTCTGTTAAACCAAAAAAAAAAAAAAAAAGCCAGGAAAGATAGTGGTCTGGGTAAGCTGGGTTCATTGGAAAGGTGCTGAGTGAATAGTCCTGAAGGATTATCATGTCAATGCCATTAAGTTTTTCCTTAAGCTGAGTCTTATCAAATAAGTCTCTGAATCCTGCAGTCATATTGGCCAGGCCTAAAATCCCCTTCTTTTGTATTGGGTTTGAATGGAGAGAAAGTAGAAAGCAACACGCTTGAGTCAAGGCTGAATCACCCTCAGGCAGCTTCTAGCTTGAGAGATACATAGTACAATAGTCTTAATTTTTAAGGAACTTAACTTCTTTACAGTTTTATTTCTGTGTGTATTTATTAACTCATTTTTTCTCCTTTATTGCCTTACATTAGGTATACAGGCAGATTTCATCTCTACACATATTTATCAATCAATTTGCCCCCTTTCCCAGCCCTTCTCCCTGCTTAAAATAAAATAGCATTATTTAGTTTTGAATAGGAAATACAGTGCCATAGTAGTAAATCTTTAAAATATGTACAACAATTTATAATTTTTTTGGCAATACTGGAGTTTCAGTTTAGGACTTCAAAACTTGTTAGGCAGGCACTCTGCCACTGAGCTACACCTTGAGCCCTTTATTGAGCTGGTTATTTTACTTCTTTTCTTTGTGCCAGTACTAGGACTTGAACTCGAGACCTTGTACTCATGGCTGGTGCTTTGAGCCATCACCTATGCTTCTAGTTTCTGGCGCGTGCATGCGTGCGTGAGGGTGTGCGTGTGCATGTGCGTGCGTGCGTGTGTGCGTGCGTGCGTGCGTGTGTGTGTGTGTGTGTGTGTGTGTGTGTTGGTCCTAGACCTTCAACTTGGGGCTTTGGAAGAGTCTCATGAACTTCCTTGTCCAGGCTGGTTTTGAAATGTATTCCTCAAGATCTCGGCCTCCTAAGGAGCTAGGATTTATAGGCCTGAGCCCTCATTGCCCAGCTGACTTCTGACTTTTTGCTGGTTATTTGGAGATAAGTGGAAATAAGAGTCTTTCTCATCTCTAATCTCTCATCTCCAATCTTATCTGCCTGGGCTAGCTTCAAACCTCTGTAATCAGATCTCAACCTTTTGAGTAACTAGGATTATAGACTTGCGCCAAAACATCCAGCCTGATGTGTTTGTTTTCAAGGTAGGTTTTTCACCTCCTGTCCATGCATCCCCCTGTGTTAGCTTCCTGTGGTAGCTAGGATGACAGGCGGGATGGTATGATGTGACACCTGTTGGTTGAGAAGGAGTCTCAAACCTTTCTGCCCAAGCTGACCTCAAACTCTGATCCTCACTATTTTAGCTTCTGAAATGGCTAAGATTATAAATGTGAATCACCAGTGCCTGGTTTATTGCCTTATTTCTAAAAAGTCTTAAGTATTCTAAACTAAATACAAATATAAATAATGGAGAGGAAAGGTGAAACTGGATTAAGATCAGAAATCATATTGGTAAAAGGAAAGCATAATTATATCAGGATTGAACCAGACTGTTTCTTTCCTGAAAGTAGGCTTATTGGTTTTGTAAAAATAATAAGAGACTGGGAAAGAGAGGAATAGTTATTCTGATTAAGGTGTTATTTGATTAAAATATATGCATGTACAAAACAACCCTGGTGAAACCCTAAAGTTAATTACAATTAATATACACTAAAAGACAAATGACAGACAAATAAAATAGGCTCTTGTTGGGGGAAGTAGATAGAGGATGAATTAGGTCAAGGGACTTTATTTGCACATATGAAAATAGTGAAAAATAGTGATAGGAGTGAATTTGATGGGGTACAATATGCATATATGAAAATACCACAATGAAATTCTCCTTACACA